TCTGTGGCCTCATGGAAACCCTGTTCCATCTGGTAGCAGGGGTGCCCTAAGGTCAGTTTCATTGCATGGCTATTCACTACTGAGTGAAAAAAGTCTCTATAAAAACTGACAGAGGTCTTCAGTGAATCAAAAGAACTCCCCCCAAGTCCAAAAAGTCTGCTGCATGCCCTACAAACACAACGTATATCAAGTACAAAATACTGCAAAAATCTGATTTAATATATCACATATAAATGCAACAACTACCAATTGTTTAAAAATATTCAAAACTGTATAGCACAAAAGAGCCAAAAGGCAATTAGCCTTCCTCAGGCAATTAGCCTTTCTCAGCCGCACAGAGAAGAATGCCATAAGCAGCCTGAAAAATAACCCAGATATTATAATAAAGCAAGCTGACAAGGGAGGAGCCATTGTCATAATGGACAAGACAAACTACACACAAGAAGCTGAACAACAACTCTCGAACACAAGTTTCTGCAGGCCACTGTCCTCAGATCCCACACATGAATACCAGCAAGAACTCAACAAAATCATGAAAAAAGTACCAGCACACATACAGGAACAAATGTATATGGACACACTCCAAGAACCTCTGTCGGGCACTTTCTACCTCTTGCCAAAGATAAATAAATATGGGAACCCTGGACGTCCCATTGTCTCAAGCATAGGCACCATCACTGTAGGAGTATCAGGATATATGGACTCCATCTTGAGACTATACATTATTAATACCCCCAGCTATGTCTGTGATACCACAGACTTCCTGAGAAAACTGCATTCCATTGACCATATCCCAGAAAAATAGCCTTCTAGCCACCATGGATGTTGAGTCTCTGTACACCAGCATACCCCATAAGGATGGACTACAAGCCATTAGAAACATCATCCCTGACAACAACACAGAAGATCTTGCCACTGAACTCTGCATGTTTATTCTCACCCACAACTACATCAGGTTTGGTGAGAACTTATACCTCCAAATCAATGGCACAGCCATGGGCACCCACATGGCTCCACAGTATGCCAACATTTTCATGGTGGATCTAGAATAGCATTTTCTGAACTCCTACCCATTGGCACTTCTCCTTTACTTGAGATTCATTGATGACATTTTTATTGTCTGGACCCATGGCAAAGAAACCCTCAAGAGATTCCACCAGGCTTTCCACAACTTCCACCTCACCATCAATCTGTCTATGAATTACTCTACACAAGAAATAAACTTCCTGGACACCATAGTACAGATACATGAGGGACACAGAAGTACCACATTATACCAGAAATGAACATATTTGCATGCCTCCAGCTACCACCCCAACTACATCAAACAATCCATTGTGTATAGCCAAGCCCTACACTATAGTCACATCTGCTCCAACCCCTCAGACAGAGATACTCACCTGAAGGATCTGCAACAGGCATTTTTGCAACAAGAGTATCCTCCTGATATGGTGAGAAAGATGACTGGAAAAGCTAGAATGATATCGAAGGACAGCTTGTTACAAGACAAGCCCAAGCAGAATAACAACAGAACACCTACAGCTCACAACTCAAGCCAGTTCAACGTATTATTAATTACCTACAACCCATGATGGATAGTGACAAGGGCACTGGGGAAGGCATCCTTTTCTTGCTTACAGACAGCTTGCTAACCTAAAACAACTTTTCACCCGCAATGACAAAACTACTTAACACTAACATGGACTCTGGTACCAAGGCCTGCAACAAACCAAGATGCCAACTTTGCTCTCATATGCATCCTAGCAACACCATAAGTGGACCCAGCAACATCAGCCATACCACCTCAGGTTCATATTCCTGCTCATCCTCTAATATGATTTATGCCATCACGTGTAAACAATGCCATTCCACTCTCTACATTGGACAAATAGGCCACTGCCTTCAACAAAGGATTAATGGACATAAGTCTGACATTAGGAACCACAACACTCAAAGAACAATGGGGGAATATTTTAACCTTCCAGGACATTCAGTTGCTGACTTAAAAGTAGTAGTTCTCTTGCAAAGGAATTTCAAAGAGAGCTAAGGAGGAGAGACTGCTGAATTGCTGATAATGAAGCTCAAGACAATGTATCCACCTGGACTGAATCGAGACCTAGGTTTCCTGTGTGATTACCAATGCTGATTTCTCCATGCCTATTACCCCTTGCATATCTCACCTAAATCCAATCATACCTGCTATTGTTATTCACCTGCTATTGTTGTTTGCCTGCTAATGTCATTCAGCATCTGAAATCACTCCACTTATCCATAAATAGCACAGATGGACTCCCGTTCTAGCTGTATCTGAAGAAGTGAGCAGTGACTCATGAAAGTTCATACCCTACCACATGTTTTGTTAGTCTTTAAGGTGCTACTGGACTCTTGCTCTTTTCTACAGCCTTCCTCAATGGCAGGGGAAGAATCTCCTGTTCCCTCCTGTGCCATTTTAAAGAGGAGGCATCCCTGTGGTGAATTCAGGGACACAGTCATGTCAAGTTTTTTTTTTTGTAATAGTCTTTTTATTAGTTTCAGCAAAACAACATAGAAACAATACACACAGACAACAAAAAAAACCCTAACAGATGGATGTAAATAATTTAGATACCTTTACAAGATTATACCATAACTGATATCCCTCTTTTAACTAGTACTTCTCCAGAATATATTCCTTAACTGCGCATCTTATAACCAATTACTCCTTTACTATATCTCATTTCCCTTCCGCATGTTCAGCAACATAAGAGTTAATCAAAAATTTTCTCTATCTGCACTACCCCAACAACTTAAATTCTATTAACTTCATGACAATTCCTCCTTTTTAGTAATTCTTGCGTACAACAAACTAAATCCATATGCTTATTTGTAATGGAACTTTTTTCTTTTATTTTATTTTTACCTTCCTTTCTTTCTTTAATTTTTTATTTTTAAACAGACTAATTTCCTCCCTATTACAGATCTGGGCTATCCTGTATACAATCAATTGCCCCGTCTATTACCTCTAGACTCCCAATTAATTTGTACTACACACAACTACCTTGCTCACCTTCAACTGTTCCAATCTTCCTCACATATCACAATCTAATACCACCTACGAATATCCATAAAGAGATACACCCCTTGCCCCTTGTTTCCCCTTCCTCTATCCGTTTCTTCTTTTTCTCTTTGTACTTCTTTTAGGTGCCTAAAATTCTTAAATTCCCTTGTTCTTAGGGTCCGACTTCGCCAAGTCCCAGCCCATGGGTGTATCTTCTTTCTTTTATAACATTGAAAGTTCTTTTTGAATTTCTTAAGTCCATTCTTTTCTTTCCTTTGGGTTTTTAAGCTGTAATCTTTTCTCAGTTGCTCCTTCTGAATGTCTTTTAAGTTCCTAGGTTTTTTGCGTTCATGTAGCTTTAAATCTTGAAATTGAGCTCACGTCTCCTCTGCAGTATTCTTCTCCCTTATGTAACGTTTGAATCTCCTTCCTGCTTTTCTTTCTTTTGTCTCTCTCTTTTGGCTTTTCTGATATATTTTAAGTCCTGGACGCTTCCCTTTCTTAACCTGACTCCTCGTCAACAGTTCATAGTCCTGCAATATATCCTCTGTGTGCAAAGCTTGGACAGCTGGAGGCTCCTTCTCCTGATCTAGCTCATGCTGTTTCAGGGCAGGTGAAAGTCGTTCCATCCCCTCCTTATTTTCTCCCTCCCCCTGAGGGTGCTGTTGTCTTTCAAATAAGTTTTTTAATGTTGTTGTTACTGCTGCTGCAACCGATTGCTTAATGGATTGCTTTATAGATTCTTCCAAGCGAAGTTTAAACTGTTCCATATTAAAGTCTGTTATTTGTAAGATTATCTCCGATTCTTTCTCTACCTCCATTTCTGCCGCCGCCGCCATTTTCTCTCTTTACTTGTTACCGATTCAGAGTTGGTCCTTAGAGCTTACAGCATCATTAGCCTCAGATTCATTTCCACTATTCTTTTCGCATTTCATTTCACAGTCCTCCGCCTTTCTCAGCTAGCTTTTTATAGCCCTCTATACGTTTATTCTTACCCCGTCTTCATTTCTTCCATCTTTCCTCTCACTTTCCACAGCCGCCTACAAAATAGTTGAGGTATTCCAAGTGGGGTATATCCCTCGCTCTCCTTGTCTCTCGCTGAGATGTGCAGCCGCAAAGACAAACAGACGAAATTCTTCTTGTTAAGGCATCAAAAAAAAAGGCTTTAAAAAGGTTGGTCGCTGCTATTGAACACGTTGCCGTGTTCCTCCGACCTCGTCTCTGCTTCGGGGCAGCTGGCTACACCCCCCGCGATTCGCCATCAGTGGGGGGGCAGTAAGCCCCCTACAACTTCCTCTCCCTCCAGGAGTGAAAGCGGGGCTCAACCGCCAAAGCGGAGAGCCCCAAAAAGACGTGGGGGAGCCGGTTGGCTTGGCGCTCGTCCAAGACCCGACCGTGCCGCAGCGCCGACAAACCGGAAAATCTAGGACAGTCATGTCAAGTTGAGACTCAGATGGACGAAGTTGTCACAGCAAGACACAGGAACAGAGAGGGTCCAAGCCTATAAAGGGCTTTGCACATAATATCCAGTGTGATTTATGTGGCATCAAATCACTACACAACACTCTCTTTATCTCTGAGAAACACAGTGAGTCTCCACTGAAAGAGCGGGACTCTTTGTGCAGCACAGAAGTCTTTTTCTGACACAAGCACAGACAAAATCCAAACAGGAAAGCAAAAATTATTTTGACACTGGGAGATGTTTATTTTCACATTTCACCAAATTATTTAAGGGTGCCTTTTCAAAACCACTACATGAAACTTAGTTCTCATTAACGAGAACATTCGTTTCTTCAAAGCAATGTTTTAACAGTCTAAGGTAAAAATACTCAGTATAAAACTGCTCTATCAGGCAAGAGATTATTCTTGAAGCAGAATTTCACCCACTCATCATAGGACTGAAAGTATAGTTTGCTACAGCAGTCACCCTCTAGAGCACAGAGATTTTTGCAAGGGATATTAGCACACAGAAGGATTGGCTTTATGCCACAAGAACAATCCTGCCAAGGATCTGTCACATCTAACTGAGAAGAGTGTACCATGCTGACATCCAGAAAAC